GTTTGAACAATATTCAAAGATAAAGTGTAACGTAAAATGTTCTGGGGTAAATTATAAATAATTAAACGTACGACTTTTCAACACTTTATACAACCATTCCCCACGATAAATTAAAGTCTAGGTTTTTTGACATCATTGCCAGCTACTTTTTCAATAAAAATGGAACTAGTAAATTTACTTACCTTGGCATTGGTCATTTCCAACATTATTTTGTTAAAATTATTCTGATTGTACACACAAGTACTCTGAAGCTGACATTAAAAAGATGCTTGAGTTTCTAATTGCGTTCCGTTATTAGCAGACCTATTTTTGTATTCATATGAAGCAGAATTTATTCAATATCTTACACATAAGAAGAAGAAAACACTTGCTGTGGCCTTCAACTCGACATTTAGATATATCGAAAACGTATTATCAATTAACAAAGGTTACTTCCATGTCGACTCCATATATCCTAGTGAGCTTGAAATCATAGATATCACAGAGTCTGACACATCTGTTTCATATTTGGATATTTTACTAGAGAAAGACGTTAATGGTAACAAAACAATCAAGCTTTGTGATAAACGTAGTGAGTTCAACTTTTCAATCTTCAATTCCATTTATTTATGTAGCAATATATCACTTGCATATGGGGTTTATGTCTCTCAGTTGATTCGATACGCAAGAGCATGCTCTACGAACGAACAATTTCTAAAACGAGACAAGCTATTGACAATCAAATTAATGAAACAATATCAGCAGTCTTCTTTAAAGTAAGCATTTTGCAAGGTCTATGGTCGATACAATGACCTTGTCAGCAAATACAATCTGTCTTTAAGTCACATGCTGACTGAAGTTTTTCATACTAATTCTAAGGCTATTATTTACAGTTTGAATTGTGTACGTATTTTTCCTTTTTTCAACACGGCGGGTGTGACCGGTCGCCAGGGGTTGCTCACCCCTCCATGGCACCTGATCCCACCACCGATGTTTTAGAGGTCCGTGTTTGCTCTGCTCCTGATTTGTTTGAATGGACTTTTGAGCTTGAATACTGTGCGTTATCTCCATATTTAATTACTGATATAGTCATTATTTTCTGAAAATTAAAAATAATATCCCTTTCTTGCAAAATCAAAGGATTTTGAATCATTTATCCCTTTTTCGAAATTGTTCTGAATAGGATCATTTTAACATTTTCATCGCTTATTAAGTGTTGTAAAGAGTACTGTAAAAATTCTAGAGCCAACTCTGAAATTCCTATTTATTACTGAACACAGACTCATAAATGCCCAAAGAAGCCAATACGATTAAAAATGACTGGACTTTTATCAAAGTTTACAAGGAATTACTTTAATTACTGTGGGATGTATGAGCACCGAATGTTTCCTTCCGACTGGCGATGAATTTTGGTGACAAATTATGTGTACAAAAATGATAGAACACAATAAAAGGAGTCACAAAACAGAATCAAGAAATCAATTTCGGTCATTGTGTGACCTATGACATGTTAACAGCATATATGTAAAGGAATGAAGAAATATGAAATGTCCATGAAAATAAACTGAAATATACATTTATTGCATGATCGTGAGGGAAATATGAAGATTTATTCAGCCAAGAAAAATCATATTCCTCGAGTGCTTCGCCCTCGGGGAATATGATTTTTCTTGGCTGAATAAATCTTCATATTTCCCAAACATTCATGCAATAATTTTTTGTATTATACCGAAACAAGCAAAAACTTTACACATAAACATAAACTTCAAATTCGACACCGCTCTTAAATTCAATTTCAATTTTAACGTAGTGTTATTGAAACAATTTACAGATTTGTGACGTGAACCAAGCTATTGCGACGTCAACTATTCTCGGGGGGTTTCGATCAATGAACGATAACTATTGCAGGAAAATGCACTAGGTCTCCGATGAGGTTGAATATGATGAAAAGTATGACGACGACAGGGAAATATGAAGTCTTATGGCCCTGTCACGTGATAATCTAGAACCAATCAGATAACGCGTTGTATAGAATAATTACAATGAGGTATAATAAATGTATATTATGAGACATATAGTCCTTCTCTGACTATGCCTCACGTGCTGTGTGATTAAGGCTGTGCTGAATTTAGAAAGTTTAATACATTTGCCAAAATATAAGAAAATTTTTTGTAACAATAGATTAAACCAAATTTCGGAAAAAGTTACTTTACAACATTTACATAAAGTTAAAAAAGTAAACACAATAATTTACCTTAATTTGGGCAGAAAAGTTATATTTTACACCGCAAAAGGATATGAACTGCTTGTTGCTTGTTTAGAATTCTTTCTTGACATGCATTTCTTACATTACAACCTAAAATTGAAAAATTTTTATAACGTAATAACAATTAATTGAGTACCTCGTTTAATCTCATTGATTGATTGTATGTTATTTTGCTTCCCATTCCAGAATTTTTTACTTACCGTCACCTTATACCGGTGAAGGGCTCCAAATTTAAACCTTTACTCGGCATTCGGGGCCATTAAGCAGTGGGGTTCTTTATCGTGCCAACACCAACCGTAACATAGCACTCCGATTTTCAAGGCCTCATCCGAAAGACCCGTGACTTTCACACCTAATGTCGGGCGTTTGGTGAAGGAGCAGTCACTACATATGTATTTGCCTTAGGTGCAGTGAATAGAATCGAACCCGAGCCTCCCGATCACGAAGCAAACGTCATACCCCTTGGCTACAATGACCGGTTAGTTTAATCCGATATGCTTCTTTAAATCACTAAATACTAGCATTGAAATGTAGACAAAAGCATTTTCTCTTTCAGGAAAAAATTATATATTTTGTGTATAATTATTTCAATTTATGTCGACAGGAAAAAGGGTATGACATGCATCGTGCAATGGCATTTCACCAAGAATCTATCATTTTGTAAAAGTAGGGTTGTAGGTTTATTCCAAATAAATTGTTAATTCTGTATCAAATCCAAACATGGATGACATGATATCATTAAAAGCTTTCTATAAGTCACGAAAAACAACACTGCTTGGCACATTGTCTAATACATTAAAATTCAAACCACCTTCCACTAAGGTAGTCCGATCCCCAGATTCTGAAAATCAACTGTTAAGTAGCTGAAAATGCTAAAAAAAAAAAAAGTCACTCAATTCAAAAAACTATTGTATATATTCATGTGTATCAAAAATTTTAAAAATATCGTGATTTATTTCAAACTTATTTAGACTTACGAAATGCGAAAATCGGATCACGTAGCAGGTCAAAATTTTGTAATTTACAATCAAGACACTAAAGAATGTCTGAAGTCATTTCTTCTGTGACACAGTAACAGAAAAAAATCAGAGCAGCCGTTAACCATACAGTTTTATGTTACATGTATACTCTAGAAAACTCCAGAAAATGCTGGAGGAAGTAGGAAATATGTCAAAAGCGGGCCATGCATATGTCGTGTACATGGTACAGCCGGTATCTGAATTATAGAGACTCTGTATAAGACGATAGTGATCTGTGAGAAACGGATTATATGTAAAAATCTTATCAAAAACATTGAAAAGTTAATAACGTCATGCTAAGAGTTACGCGTTTCACAATTGCTGATCTTGTGAGAGCACAGTTACGCAGTGAAAAGAATATAACATTGACAAACAGAATGATGGTGCTGGAACAATTGCTAGCAAAATAGATTTCAAGTGATAGAGAAACGTTTTTAATGATTGCACTGGTATTGGGCAATACTGTGTGAAATGTATAGGAAGAGTATTTTTGAGAACCTCCTGACGATATGTTTTTGGCGTTACAGTGATGTTGAGTTTGCTCCGTGGTTACAAAACGTGTTGATTTTAAAATTAAATAACATGAATTCTATTAAATCACATGGAATGAAACTTCACACTTAAACAAAATAGATATTTTACCTATGATAATGTGCTCATTTTCAATTTCTGGAAGATAGTATGACGAGTATTTGCATAGTCCGCGAACTTTCCGAACAACCCTCGTAAGTTTAACTTATAGTTAATTATAGAATATATTAGTTAGGGAAAATTATTAATTCTCAACTATATTTTCAGAAAAAGTATATTGTACATGTATAATCGCTGTTGTAGAGTAGGATTTCCCCCATGACCAGCTGTCCCTTGGAATCTGTACTCTAGAATAGACAAGTCTACTAGACTTCTTGATTGTAATTTTTGTGAAGTTTCATTGAGATTGTCTACTGCGAAAGCAACTGTGCTAAGAAAATGGAATTTAAGGGACACTTGTTACAATTTGTCACCTTTCCCCCTCACAACATAAAAATACAGGCATGATTTATTATTGTGAGGGGGGTTAACTCTTCATGAATCTCACCTTATAACTATTACCAGAGAAGGATCCCTTCCCCCGGAAAATTGAATCTGGTGTGGGGTTTCCGTAGGAGAAATCCTACTCTAGAATCATTTTTCCATGAAGAAATTCCTACTAAAGAGCCAGATTTTTTTTTTGCGGGGGGGGGGGGGCGGGGGGGGGGGGGGGGCGAGGGATTTTACAGTAAAAAATCGTTTCTAAGATTTCAAGAAATTTAAAATTTTAAACAAATTAAGATGCATGAAAAGAAAATTTGTTACACGAAAAATTTTCCGAGGCAAAAATTTAAAATATTCTTACATCTTTTATCATCCAATCCATATACTTCGTATGTTTTTAAATTTAACTAAACATCGTTATAATATTTATGAAGAAAACGAAGTGTGTTTGTTAAACACTCATTCCCTCGTATGACAGCTTATGGTGAAGGTAAAATTATTATTAAATGCACGTCAAACTCCAAGGTCAAGGTCAAGATATCAAAAATGTTAGTATCAAAAGAAAGATTTTTTTTTGTCACAAAGAGCAAGTTCTTGCGTTTCAATGTAATTAAACCCCGTATGCAGGTGATAATGGTATATTGCTGCATAAGTAAGGGAAGTTGACGATTTAAAATTTAAAGTCATCAAGTTTATCATAAAGTTATGTCAACTTTAACGATTTATGAAACAGATGTGTCAGATTCGTTGGCATCTGTGGCATCCAATTTCTCCAAAACACACTTGTTAACTGATTGAGAAATGGATCATAAAACACGAAATTGTATCTATCACTACATCTCTGTTCCTAGGAATATCATAATTCTCTCTCTCTCTCTCTCTCTCTCTCTCTCTCTCTCTCTCTCTCTGTGTGTGTGTGTGTTGATTTATAATTTCTTCTAAGATATCCAGAATAAATATAGGTCGTTTTTTGAAAACATAAAAAGTATTCATGTCTTAATATTCCAAGAATCTTGCTATTTTTGCAATAGGTGACCGCAGTCTAATTGCAAAACATTGAGATCAATGGTTCGATGGAATACTCTTCCAATTTGCAGTAGTGTGTAAACGTTAAATAAATGAATGAAAGTGTAGAAGTCATTGCGTTGCCTCCTGATATGTAATGATGATTGGACAGTCGTCTTCTGTTATTGATGTCACCTTCTGGAGTTATCACCGTGTTCATCTGGTTGGTATGATATATTTCTGTTTCGCTGCATAGTGGCAATTTAACTGCAAGAAACAAATCATAATATATTTATTCCCTACAAATCTGTAACGATATATCAGTTTATTTTTTTCTCAATTGTTCTGTAAGTCTCACATTGTATCGCATACTTTGTCCTTCTTGGGTTATCGCAGAATTTTCATTACACTTGAAAGCATATAGTTTCTTTTCACTGTAAGTAATGCATTCCATTTTTGTAACATCACAGTTTTTCAGGTCAAGAGATGAGGCATTTTCAATTCTATCACAAATTCTTGTAACCTAAACATAATATTGTACGTTTAATATTCCATTGTGTAAACCAAAAAATTGTATATGAACTATATTTACTCTGATTTTACGTGTGCATAAGTTATTAACTCAACGCTTTATCTAAAATGTACCTTTTCCAGTTTATGTTCACAGAACATCCCCATAAACCCGGTTGGACAATCACATATGATATCTGGTGCCTTCGCATCAGGACCAGTCTTATTACAGGTAAGCTGTCCACCATTGATACATGGACCTTTGTTTGGTAAGCTGTATTTCATACAATCAACACCTAACAATATAACGCCATCAATGTTATTATAGCTAGTGAACAAATTGCTATGTGGACCTATAGATATTGTCAATTAACTTACATCTCAATGATCTAACATCATCTGACTTCACATTACCAGGACAAGAGGAATGTGAATGATATTTTCCTTCATACACATTGTAAAAGGAGCATACACACTCTGGTTTAATAAAAACACCTGTATTGTCGCATTGTAAAGATTTGCTACCTGGAAAATATCATTTTGAATTTTAAGATATTGAAGAATTAAAAAAGCAATACATCTAGATTTTTTAAGAGATGCATTTTCTCTCAATTGAGGTTTTCTCCTCTGATATTAATTTTTCCTTGTATTTTTTTCTTTAGTTATGTTGTATATATATATATATATATATATATATATATATATATATATATATATATATATATATATATATATATATATATATATATATATATATATATATATATATATATATTTAAAGTTTAGATATTTACTTGAATTCCTTATTCGGCACATTTCCTTATTTCCACTCTTCAAAAAAAAGGGTATCTCTAAAAGAGATACAACTTTGAAAAACATACAAAACACAATGTTCATGATTTAGTCATGAAGCATAACTGAAAATTTTCAAATAATTGTGCATTTTGTGATAAAAGTGTGAGATTAAGTGTATCAGTAGAGTAATATATTATAAACATTTTTGGATATTGGGCCACTTCATTGGACAATCATAAACAATTTTTGCAGCCATTTTTCAAAATGGCCGTCATACGCCACATTTACAAGCATACTTCTGAAAAACTATAGTAGCTACTGTAATATAAAGTTTATAAATATATCTGTATATGTGCAGATAACTTTTAGCTCACCTGAGCTTAAGGCTCATTCAATATAATTTGTTTGTTAGCTTTCTTTGTTGTCGTCTTAGAATTTTCAATTTTTTATGTTCTGTTAAATTTCTGGTCCAATTAAACTTAAAACATGATACCATCCTTGAGTAAAGATTGTTTAATCCAGTGACACCTCCTCTATTCAAGGGGAGATAACTTAGCAATAAAAATAAACTTCTCAAAAAGCGTTGATTAATTTAAGTTTGTTCAAACCATGGCCCCTGGTAGCTATAGGGTGGACCACAATAGGGGATTCAAGTTTTGCAGTATGAATATCAAGAGGTAAACTTTCAAATTCTTCTTCTCAAGAACAACAAGACTTTGGTTTATGAAAAAGATATGCTACAATCCTTAGGTAGAACAGATTCAATTTTTTTTCTAATCATGGCCCCGAATTTTGGCCATAAGAAGGGATCAATGCTTAAATGGAAACATTGCCAATTTGTATGAATTCAAGTTTTTAAGTAACAAATTGCGGAATGGTCTAAAAACTGTGTAGATCAACAAATTGTTGACAGTGGAACTAAGATGGGACTGAAATATTTTAAATTGTTTTTTAAATCACATTTTATATAATACATGTACAATTACACAGGGAAAAAAAATTTAAGGCAACCTCCAGAACATGCAGCAATTTCATCCAGTCACCTTTCAAAAACAGATTTTACGACTACTGGGTCAGATGTCCTTTTTATATATGCATCCTTTGATTCTTGTTCAGTATGAGCTCATGAAATCATCGTCTCTGCCTTGTGTATATTAAGCTGTTAAGCCATTATCTTACACTGAATTGTCTACGGATATTTCCGTTTACCCATCAAGACAAGGAGCACACAGCGAATGTGACCGATCGACAAGGAATGCTTACTCCTCCATGACACTTGATCCCAACTCTAATGTTTTTAGAGGTCTGTGATTGCTGGTGCTCCGAATTTGTAATGTTCCATTGGACATTTGAGCTTGATTACTGTTAAAAATCTTCATATTTCATACTTCAGCAACGTGCTAATGAATGCTACTGAATGATATTCACTGAAACTGAAAATAAAATTCTGGAGTTCAAAGAGCCTTGCAAAAAAAGAAGGATCGACCCTTTTCCCATTTTAGTACAGTTAGACTGTTGTGTGCATTGACCTTCATTCTAAATCTACAGCTTCGATCATTTCCAGCTCTTATAGAGCTTGTAATCTGTTGTTGGATACCTGTTCATCTTAGCGACACATAAAAACACTTTAAAGGAAACCATGAAGAATGGGATACCAAGAGGGTGCTCTCTGTATTCCCATTGATCAGATACAAACACCAAAGAATGCATATATCAAGGATGACCAAAAACTGTTTTCCTTTCCAGTGAACAATCAGCTCTTCTCTAATGGGAGGTATCTGGACCAAAATTAATACAGGAGTTTTATGATGACCCCACAGAAAAAAATGTCATCAATTATCAATATCAAATTCCAAGTGTACCCAGCTTGTTTGTTACAGGTGTTTATCTCTTATTTGATCAATGACTAGCAATCCCTTTGAAAAAATTAAGCTATGGCCTCTTAGTTCTGGGTATTATGGCGCTTGCATTAAAGTCTGGAGAATTTGTGAAGAGAACTGGAAAAGAAAATGTCAAAGAACGTCTTTATTCGGTTCGGTCATATTTCTATTCATCGCAAAAAGCCCTAAAACACAAAATCCAACAATGAGCAAGAAGATAGTAGGGTTTGACTTCATTCAGATGTGACATGAATCTCCTCTCTAAATTGTCTTTCAAATAAAACAAGAAAATATCGAAGATTTTTTTCAGCATAATAATCAAGTTCGTCTCCATTCTTTGAAGGCTGCAATCTACATCTTAGAACCAAAAGTGATTTTCTTTTTTACATGTAGAATTTTCAATAGAGATATATAGCCCAAGGCTCAAGATCTTTCTTCGATCAAATTTCTAGCAAGTTCAAAGAGTCCCTCATTAGAGCTAGTTAAAAATGCATACATGTGTATTATATTTCCTTGATAAATGTAGCAAGAGCGAAGCGAAGCAGGCTGCTGCTGAATCTTTCTCCTTATAAATGACAATAAAATTGAATTGCAGATACATCTCTTGTCATTTGATGAAGGCAAAAAACTAAGAGCGCATGTAAAAAATGCAAACTCGTGTGAATGTGAGGGGCTTATTGTTTTGCTTAAAGTCCATGGACTTTAAAATATCACAACATTGTGAATATTGTAAGTGTGACCACTTGGGGCGTATAACTGGATAGAATAGACTGTTGCAATGGATTCTAATGATATTGATAACTGGATATGCTATTCATAATCTCTTTTTACTATTTAATTATATGTAAAAGGAACAGTTTATTAAATCAAATTAATTTAGGTGGAGGCAAATGTGATTTTGACTTTATCTTTGTTTCATCCTAGGAAACAGTGGCATAGTATGTAAGAAAGTGATGTCATATGCATATATTTTATTTAAAGCACTAAAAATTTTCTTACTTATAATACATATAGTAATTTTATTATCTTAAACCATGATCGTAGGTGAAATCTGTGAAAGAATTTAGTAAATGTAAACAATAGCGTAATTTCTGGAGGCCATTTTGTGAAATGGCTGCTATGGCCGCCAGAGCCTGATTCTGCGATGGACCAATATCCAGATTCCTTTATATTATAAAAATATTTGTGCCAAAAATGGTGCTTTTATCACAAAATGCACAATAGGTTACCTATGCCGCAGTACTAATTTACAATTTTGTCATACTTATTCTTACTTGAAAAAAAAATATCTGCAAGTTCTAAAAAACCTGATTTTTTATCTTTCCCTTTTTTTTCTTTTTTTTTTTTTTATCAGAAAGCACATTTCTTTGTTCATTTAAAGTACGAAAAGGAACGCGGTATTCAGAGAAAAAAACGGAACATATTTCTGTCGATAGGAATGATAAACTTTGTCTACTCCAGAAAAATGGAAACACTCACCGTGTGGCAGTGCGACTGTTTGTTTGTCCTGAATAATCATACACTGGCGAGGCTCATCTGAAATTATTAAATAAATTTAGCTTGAAATTTTTTAAGAGCAAGTTTTTTTTTTTTCAGAATAAAGAGTATATAATATATGTATAGAGGTTTCAATTTGAAGAGGAAAGAAAAAGAGTATGTTCCAGATATCAATTAAAAGTCGATAAATGAAATAATAACTAAAGGTATTTTATTCAATTATATGTCTTTAGGATGCAAATAGAACAAAGTTTTGTTCCTACTAACTTATTGTAAGTGTGGGAGACTCGAGTGATCTCCTTGTGATCGTACCTGGTTTTTCAAAGTCTTGCAGGGATGATAATGATGCAAAATATACAAATACAATGGACACTTGCCAGGTGTGTAAGGTATTCAATATGTACTCATTAGAGCTCCGTTCTAACACCGGAACCCCTGATCCAGTGGCGATGAAAATCACAATTTTGGGAGAGGCACCCTTCCTCATCATAATTATGTACTTAGTTCCTCTGCTTAATACCCAGGAGCAGGGGAGAAGATTTTCAAAGAATTAGTGCATTTTCACTATATAATCATTAGAGTCCCACTCTAACACCAGAACCCCTGATCCAGGGGCCATAAAATTCACAATAATTTTTTGAAGAGTTACCTGAGTATAATTCAACACTGTAAAGGATCCATAAAAGCATACAACAAACCCTTCCTCATCATATCTATGCATTTAGTTTGTTTGCTTAATACCCAGGAGCAGAGGAGAAGAATTTTTAAAGAAATAATGCATTTTTACAATATATTCAATAGAGCCCCGCCCTAGCACTATAACCCCTAAGCCTGGGGCCATGAATTTCACAATTTTGGTACAGGCGTCAATGCTTATTACAATCATGCCCACAGTTTGCTTGATGTTCAGAAGTAAAGAAGACGATTTTTAAAGATTGCATTAATTTTGGTTGTTTTAGCCCCACTCCTCGGACCCAAGGGGGTCAGGGACCATGAAAATCAACTTTAGTTCCCCTTTACTCATAGATGCTATATGCCAAAATTGGATAAAATTGGTTCAGTGGTTCCAGAGAAGCTGAAAATGTTCAAGTGTTAACGAACGACGATCGCCGACGGACAAAAATGAATAACAGTAGGTCACCTGAGTGACTCAGGTGACCTAAAAAGGAATATTTTACGCATGGAAGTGCCATTCAAAGACAAAAAATACATGTGCGGTTAAAAAAAACCTCCTTAGACAGTTAAACCCGTCTTTCTTAATAATACGTCGTAATTTTGAATATGTATTACATCAAATCAATTTAATTTAATACAATTACCTTTATTAGAAATTAAGAAACAGATCTCCGTGTAACACAAAGCTTTCTCTTTCGTGCTCATTTAAACTAAGTCATAAAAAAATGTTAGTGATGATAAATACTTTCTTGAAGCGACCTTTAAAATAAAAAGTAAGTAAAGAAACTTACCAGTTTGTTGCATGGAAAAGGATGAAATAAAAAATAGCAAGAAGTAAGGCGACACTTTCATTCTTAACATGATTTTTTGTCAAAGACAACAAGACTGCAATTAAGAACCTGCAAAGAAGATTTTGAGAGGTGTATCAACATTAAACTTAAACTTTTCAAATACTTCCTTAGCAACGTGATGCGTTAAAAACTGTTAGTGATTAAAAGAGTAGGGGAAAAAAACAAGAGGTCCATGGGCCAAAATGCTCACCTGAGTCACTTTGACCCTACTGCTCTGCAACAGGTTTTTTAAATCAATATACATGTATGCCTTTGTAAAATTTTGATTGTCTTTTGTGGCCCACCATTTACACAGAGGCAGTAATTTGAACAAAAAAGATTAATAGATCTACACTACCAGAGGATGCTTTCACATTAATATGATTCTTCATAATTTTGCTGTTTTTGTGAAGAGTTTAAATGTTTACCCTATATAATCCCTATTGTGGCCCTACCCCACCCTCAGGGCCATGATCTGAACAATTTAGATTCTTCACTACCTACGCAAGCTTCCAGGTAAGTTTCATTTTTCTGGCGCAATGGTTCTTCAGAAGAAAATTTTTAAATATTTTTCCTCTATTTTTCAATGCAAAACGTTTATCCCCTATTGTGACCCCACCCCATCCAAGGGACAGGATTTGAACAAATAAGAATCCAAACCAACTTAGGAAGCTTCCATATAATTTCAGCTTTTCTGGCACAATGGTTCTTCAGAAGAATATTTTTGAAGATTTTTCCTACATATTTCAATGTCAAATTTTGATCCCCGCCCTACATGTATCCACAGGGGCCATGATCTGAACAATTTAGAATCTACACTACCTAAGGAAGCTTCTGCGTAAGTTTCAGTTTTTCTGGCACAATGGTTCTTTAGAAGAAGATTTTTGAAGATTTTTCAAATATATTTCAATCTTAAATTTTTATCCCCCATCGTGGCCGCACCCTATCCCTAGGGGAAAGGATTTGAACAGTTAAGAATCTTAACTACCTTAGGGAGCTTTCATATAAGTTGCAGTTTCTCTGGCATGGTGGTTCTTGAGAAGAAGATTTTTTTTAAATGATCCAACCCTTTTTTCGCCTTTTCTTGATTATCTCCACCTGGAAGGGGGCTTAGCCCTTCATCTTTACAATTTAGAATTCCCTTTTCCCTTTACTTTGTATCAACTTTGGTTAAAATTGACCCAGTGGTTCTTGAGCAGAAGTTAAAAATGTTAAGTTTACAAACGGACGGACAGACAGCTAGACAGACGGACGGACGCCAGACAATGGGAGATCAGAAAAGCTCACTTGAGCTTTCAGCTCAAGTAAGCTAAAAATAAAAATAAAAATCTAAATTTTAGCACATTAAACCAACATACGCATTGATAGATAAAAATATTGGCATTCAGTCAAGTTGAAATACTACATGTTTACACCAAGTATTTTGCACTATTAATTATAAGTAATAGGGTATTCATCAATTTTTTACCACAACAGGAGGTCATATTGGGGCATTGTGTTTATGATCAAATATCAGAACAAAGTTTGCTTTATCATCAACTCCAAACATGAAAAAGTGTAATAGGTGTATATTCAATAACAAGCTTCATAATATGAGTTTGTTTTCGTTAAATTAAGAAATTTTAAGCTTTAGGTTTGACAACACATTATTAACAAATATGCGGATAAGTTAATCCGTCTTTTAACAGTGATCGAGCGCGTTTTGGTACATGATACACCGCTTAAAACAACTTTTTTTCATAAGAAATTTCTAGGTCTGTTTTCTTGCTATTCGCCTTAAAGTAAACATAATTACATTTGAAAATTCATTTGAATTATCAATGAATTTTTACTAAATGAAAATTTGAAAGAATAATATATGCATGTGCGAGGATTGATTTATTCAGACCCCGAGAACTCTCAGAAGCTTGAAATTTTGTAATAAATTCACTGTGTGCCTCTTGGTTGGACCTAAAAACAAATCCAAAATCGGCTTGTTCTTGTCTTTCTCTTTTACTTAATATCGTGTCAAGAAATTCTGTGTGGTCTAGCTTTTGGGTGAACTCAATAAAGCTAATCACTTATGTTTCCTATGATCGCATCCTCACAGCTTCAGCGGTCCTGAGTCCATTCTTGGCCCTGAAACCCTGACAAACTTCATTCGATGCCAAGAGGGAAGCGAGAAAATTAATGGCAGCAGTTTTGAGGGGTGAATCTGAAATTCTTCAGCTTTCTTCGCTAAAGTCTTTTAAAACTTCTTAACGAAAGTTAGGGAAAGATGTGAGCATGTGCGACATGGCCGTGACCTTTGACCTATAAATTTTAGTTCAATAGGAACCTTTAAGTCTTCTGTGATCTTTTTCTAGTGTTATGTATCAAGTTACTTTAATAACTTTCAAACCCCCCTCCCCTTCTCAGCAAATAGCGACTTGGAATATTTCTTAAAATTTATAAACAGACCTCGGATCGACACAAAATTTTAGGATACTGTTGTCAAGACTACATAGAAACTTTCTTAATCGAGTGAATGTCATCGCTTCGTTAACCTAGAAATCGTAACCTTTAACGACAAGAACAGAAACCTAGGCAGTGGTTAACATTTCTGAACAGATGAACAGAAAAAATATAATTTTTATCGGCAATTTCTTCATACGTCATTTATGGCTTTCAGTTTCATTGTTTTGCTTACCTGCCAGACAGTGCTCTTCCCTTTTGCTTGTGGAATTTATTTTAATTTTAACTAGAGTTATTCAGTGAATCTTGACAAAAATTTGTGATGTCCTAGCTGTTTTCTTTCTTGCACTTTATAATTGTATAACTACAATTTATGATGTTTTGAATCAATACAAAGCAAACAGATGCTTCTTTGGTTTTTACCGTTTTTTAATTCTGGATGCATCCATCCCGGCCAGTCTTGTCTCTACGTGCATTGCTTGTAAATTCCATTTCTTATTTCTATTTGTGAGTACATACATGTATATGCCCCCCCCCTCCACCCACACACATTAAAAATAGATTGAAAGATCTCTAATTGTTCTCATCAAGCAATAAATCTTAAACCTTTAACTTACGATCGATCCCTTAAAGACTCTGCTATTAATTACCCCGGAACACTCAAAGCAAGAGACTTACAGTAAAGTCAATACCAAAAAGTTTTCGAGGCTCTTGAGAGTTCTCGGGGTTAGTGATTCAGAGTAAACATATACTCGCAGGCCCGTAGCAACGGTTTCAAAGGGGTGGGGTGAGGAGAGGGTGGTCAACTTCCCAAAATATCTGACAAGCATTAAAAAAACATTTACTGACCAAAAAGGTGGGGAGGGGGCACTTCCCAAAATAATTTGACAAGCAAATTAAAAAAAAACCTAATTAACTGTCCAAATCTTGCAACAAAAATTGGGGGGGGGGGGGGCATTTACGAAAACCCATTTCCTAAATGTCGCCCGACCATGCAACGACCGACTTTTAACAAACTGTCGATGATCAGACGATGATCAAAGGTTGGTCTGATGGACTATTCAACGAGTGCATCATTTCATGGAATGGGCCACTGAATCAGAAAAATATAACTGGGCCCGGTGAACAAAAAATTGGTCGGCCGACGAAAAAAGACGTCAAAATCGGGCAAGACAACGGCCGATGATATGACTGTGGCGGGAAAAATCTTATTTTTGCCTTCGGCCGTCGGTCATTTTTGGCAATGTGACGGGTTTCATACTTCATGCTTATTTTTTATGCCCCCGCCGTAAAATGGCCGGGGCATATAGTGTTACCCTGTTCCGTCATTCTGTCATTCCGTCATTATTCAATTTCCGTTTCGTTGATCAGTAGAGCGCTAGCATTGACAATAGCTGTCCCCGGTAATTTTTTGTTCCAGAAAACGGAAAATTGTGAAAGGCAGTAATTTGGACGGATGATATATAGTCAATTGTTTGCCAATTAAATTCTCACTCATTTACTGCACATTTGTGTTAGGTCGTAATTGTGCTGAATTTTCAAAATCTATTTTCCGGAATGCATAAAAAAAATGTTTCCTGAAGGTTAAAAAAAAGTTCTGAACCATTCAGCCATTTTTAGCCAGTCGGTCGGGAGAGAGCAACCAGACGATTTTTTTTTAAAGATCGCCCGGCGCCTAAGTTTTAGAGGTCACTTCGAGGCCTAAAATAAGTACACCATATATATATATAAATGCCCCCCCCCCCCCCGCGTTCTACGGGCTTGAACTGAGCTAAACGCAGTGTGACGGAAATATATATATATATATATATATATATATATATATATATATATATATATATATATATATATATATATATATATATATATATATATATATATATATGTGATGCACTGCAATATACAAATTAGTATTAAAAAAGGAAAATAAATTCTTCCTTCAAAAGTACAAAATATAAAAATGCTTCTCCTATTGTGTATACCTGTGAGCAGCTTACCCATATCAGGAGCTGTATGCATAATAATGTGGGAAACCAATGAGGAAATCAAACACAACTGTTAAGTATTGCAGTTGTGTACACACAACAATCGTTGTGAAATATAACCAATTGTTCTGAATACCATAAGCAACATCATAAATATTACTCAATATTACATAAAATTGCCCTGTGTTCATATCAATAGGTTAACAAATATATATTAAACAAAAATCCACGTCTATTGCAAATGCCAGTGGCGGATCTAATGCACTTCATATATTTCAGCATTCCTAATGGAATCGGAGCATTAGTGATCTGCTGTTTTGTCAAAAGGTAATCTTTGGATTGCTTCGACATAACTGTTCAATATGTTACGGGGAGAAAACCTTTGCAACAACTGACCAAGAAAGACATGCTCCATGACATACTTGTCCATGGCACCTGATCCCACCTCTGATATTTTTAGAGGTTCGTGCTTAATGCTCTCCTCCCGATTTGTATTGTTTCAATGAACTTTTGATTACTGTTCGTTATCTCCGTATTTCATGCTTAATGTTGTAAGCTTCAACGATAAAGGAGGCGAAAGAAAATACATCTAGGGCTAATTTTGCAGGATCCAAGTCAACTCGTATTATCATCGCCTACGACCTGCAAAAAAAGCACCTGAGGTCGAAACGTCTCTAAAATAGTAACAGAACAAGGTTTTTGCAGACATCTTCGACCCAGTCGGGCAGATCCACCCCTATTTTTTTAAAACATACATGGAACTTCCCAGTATGTGATGATAATTTTTTTTTTTTTACAATTTTCTGTGGGACATGATAAATTCGTCAAGACGTGCAAAATAAGTATCAAGATGAGAGAACAAATCTAAAAGAATTATGGTTAGCCTATTCCTTTCAAATCGTCCTTGCAGCGAGCAGTCAAAATCAAGAAATGCGGAGAACGATGCAAACCCCTGGAAAAACACAGGGCGACATCATCAAAATACCAATGAAAAGCGCGCATTCCGAGGTATGCAAAATGATGCAGAATTATCTGCGGTCGACAGCTTAAATTAACTCACATAGAATCATGTTTTATTTCCGCGGTTATTAAGTACTCATAAACTCTAGGTGCTTGATTTGAATAAACAATATGACATAAACACAATGAAATAAATACAAAATATTTGTATCTAATCTTGTTGTATTATATTTTGTCCATAAAATTAATTTTATATATATATATATATATATATATATATATATATATATATATATATATATATATATATATATATATATATATATATATATATATATATGGTATACTACATATATAAAGTACTGTAAAAAGAAGGAATTCTTCCTTAAAATGTACAAAATATAAATTTTCTTTGTAATTTTTTTTAAGAAAAACAACCACATTCATTTACAAACGTTTGAATAATCAAGCATTGTACATAGTTCTTGCAGAAGTATATATAATTTTGAATTAGCAATTTTTATGCCCCGCAATAAATATAGTGTAGTGTTTGTCATGTCCGTCTTACGTCCTTTATTCCTTTCGTCACACTGCGTTTAGCTCAGTTCAGGCCCGTAGAACGTTGCCCCCCCCCCCCCAACGTTTTCTGACCGTATTTTGCTATAATGAATTTTCCTTAAGATGCTGGTTTCCCCCCCCCCCCCAATTTTTTGATGTTGTAAGGTCGAGCACTGACAAGTTCCATGATTTGGACAGTAAATTAACCCTTTTTTCTTGTCAGATTTTTTTTTTGGGGGGGGGGGGGGCAACTCCCCCCCCCCTTTTGAAACCGTTGCTACGGGCCTGCAGTTTCTGAAAAACTATTTAAGACATATTTATCAATCCTTATATGCTGATACACGTTGGAGATAGCTATTTAACTTCACCAACATTTTTATCTTCACCATTCCTTTGAACCTGACATCACCTTTCAAAAGTTTATGTTTTCTTAGTTTCAAAAAAACTGTTTAAGTTATTTTATTAGACTTTTTATGCTGACACATACATGTATTGGAGAAAGCTTTCAACTTCACAATATTTTTTGACCTTGACATTCCCTTTGACCTTGAATTAATTTTCAAAAAATTTGTTTTGGTAAGTTTCAAAGAAACTATTTGAAATATTTTTACCAAACCTTATATGCTGACTTGAATTGGTTAGATCTATTCATCATTTTTTTGACTTTGACCTTGACCCCACTTCTCTTTAATTTTTGTTTGCACCGTTTCAAAGAAAATATTCAAGATATTTTTAATAAACTTCATATGCTTATACTTATTGATGAAAGCTATTCAATGCATCAACATTTTTACCATGATTTTTCCTTTGACCTTGACTTCACTTTACTCAAATACGTGTTTAGCTCAATTAAAAAAAGACAAAAAAAAAAAAAAAAAAAAAAAAACCAAACAAACAAACAAATTTAAAATATTCTTAGGAATCTGTCACTCAAAAAATTCTAAGACTCGATGTCTCAATACTTCACTTGGCAAAGCATTTGTTCACAAGTTTTAAAATGTATATTGGGCCACTATAGAGATTTAATAATTTGTCTGTTCTCTATAGACCCAGCATTTTTAGCTCACCTGAGCTGTAAGCTCAAGTGAGCTTTTCTGTTCACATTTTGTCTGTAGTCCGTCTGTCTGTCCGTCTAGCTGTCCGTCCGTCTGTAAACTTTTCACATTTTCGACTTCTTCTCCAGAACCACTGGGCCAATTTCAACCAAACTTGCCACAAAGCACCCTTTGGTAAAGGGGATTCAAGTTTATTCAAATGAAGGGCCACACCCTCATTCAAGGGGAGATAATTAAAAAATAGTGAAAATATGCTGGTATATTTTAAAAATCTTCTTCTCAAGAACCACAGGGCAAGGAAAGATGAAACTCATGTGGAAGCATCCTCAGGTAGTGTAGATTCAAATTTTTTTCAAACCATGACCCCCGATGGTAGGGCGGGGCCACAATGGAGGATCAAAGTTTTACATAGAAATATATAGGAATAACCTTTATAAATCTTCTTCTCAAGAACAGCAAAGCCATGATGAGTCATATTTATATGGAAGCATCCTGAGGTAGTGTAGAATTAATTTTGTTCAAATCATGATCCCCGGGGGTAGGGCGGGGCCACAATGGAGGATCAAAGTTTTACATAGAAATATATAGGAAAAACCTTTAAAAATCTTCTTCTCAAGAACAGCAAAGCCATGATGATTGATGAGTCATATTTATATGGAAGCATTCTCAGATAGTGTAGTTTTAAGTTTTTTAAATCATGACCCCCGGGGGTAGGGCGGGGCCACAATGGAGGATCAAAGTTTTACATAGAAATATATATAGGAATAACCTTTATAAATCTTCTTCTCAAGAACAGCAAAGCCATGATGAGTCATATTTATATGGCAGCATCCTGAGGTAGTGTAGATTCAAGTTTGTTCAAATCATGATCCCCGGGGATAGGGAGGGGCCACAATGGAGGATCAAAGTTTTACTTAGAGATATATAGGGAAAACCTTTAAAAATCTTCTTCTCAAGAACAGTCAGGCCAGGATTGGTCATATTTATATGGAAGCATCCTCAGGTAGTGTAGATTCAAATCTATTCAAATCATGACCCTCGGGGGTAGGGCGGGGCCACAATGGAGGATCAAAATTTTACATAGAAATATATAGGAAAAATTTTAAAAATCTTCTCCTCAGGAACGACAAAGCCCTGAATGATAATATTTATGTGGAAGCATCCACAGGTAGTGTAGATCCTATTTTGTTCAAATCATGATCCCTGGGGGTAGGTTGGGGCCACAATGGACTATCAAAGTTTTACATAGAAATATATAGGAAAATGTCCTCTTCTGAAAAACAGAAAAGCCATGATTAGTCATTTTGATATGGAAGCATCCTGAGGTAGTGTAGATTCAAGTTTATTAAAATGATGACCCCCGGGGGGTAGGGTGGAGCCCAATGGGGATCGAAAGTTTTACATAACAACATATAGAAAAAATATTTCTTCTCAAGAACAGAAAAGCTATGTTTAGTCATATTGATATGGAAGCATCCTCAGGTAGTGTAGATTCAAGTTTGTTCGAATGATGACCCCTGGGATAGGGAGGAGCCACAATGGGGGATCAAATTCTTACAATTGAATATATATGGGGAATTTTTTTAAAAATCTTCTCAAGTACAACAAAGCCATTTGTTATATTGACATGGAAGCATCATCAGGTAGTTTAAAATTCACCCACCGGTAATCTTTTCAATACTGAACTTAGCTGCAATAATGTAGCCCTCTCCCTTTTTTTTTTTTTTTTTTTTTTTGGGAGAGGGCTACAACTCCTTAGGATCTCCGTAAT